TGGGATCGAGTCCCACATCGGGCTCTGCACTAAGCATGGAGCCTTCTTAAGATTCTCTCTCCCTCTCTGTCTCTGCCCCTCTCCCCCAGTAACAATCTCTCTCTTAAAATAAATAAACATTAAAAAAAAAACAGGCACCTTGCCTCTTTCCACTTAACTGTTAAGTAACTATGGAAGACAAATCATTTTGCCAAGTGTCAAACTCAGGATTTTTTTTTTAATTTTTTTTAACATTTATTTATTTTTAAGAGACAGAGAGCAGACAGGGGAGAGGCAGAGAGAGAGGGAGACACAGAATCCCAAGCAGGATCCAGGCTCTGAGCCATCAGCACAGAGCCCGACGCGGGGCTCAAACCCACAAACCGCAAGATCATGACCTGAGCCAAAGTCGGACGCTCAACCGACTGAGCCACCCAGGCGCCCCATGGATTTTTTTTGAATGATGAGGATTTTATCTATACATGTAGCATATAATACAGTTCTGGAGCATTCCTACAACGCAATACATCTGGAGTTCAAACGAGATGCAGCTAATTTTTCTCTCAGTAACAGAACAGGGCTAAATTCAATAGGTAACATTGCTAAAACTAGGGCAGAATTGAAAAGGGATTTGAATAAATAAGCTCTATGTCGGGGCAATTATTATTACTGTTTACACTGATCTATTAACATTTATGTGGTACTTAATACTTTCATTAACATCTTCACTTCTAAGATAGTAGAATCTGGTCCGTAACTATTTTCGATGGTTTCCAAGTATCTGTCAATTTATTCTAGCCTCATACGCTGTCTCACCACCGTTGGCACTCAATTGCGTATGAAGTTTATTGTTTTTGCTCTGTTTCTGGTGTGTTAGTGTTCTCCCTCTTTTCATCCGGAAGCTTCCTGAAGACAGAAACTCTGCATTTTGCTTTCCTTTTAATCCTCTGTATCAAAGAAGCTTACAGATTAGGGTTTAAAATTGATAACTAGCATAGATGACCCCAAGAGACCTATTCTAGGCCTATTCTTTCATAGAAACTTATTCCCTCAATTCCTAAGTCCAGTATACCTCAAAGCATTTCTACCATTCTCAAAGAAGTCCCATTAGATAATGGGTATTTTTCAAAAGGACTGAGTTTTTACTGTGAATACTTCACTTTATAAGTTGTCAGACATTTTGACAGAATTAACTGACGGTTATGGATTGAATTGGTTGTGTATTTCAGTACAACCTAGGTTCTTCCAAACAGCCCTTCAGGCCCCCTACTGTGCTCTAGAATAACCATTCTTTCGGCTATACAGAAGTCTTCGTTATCCCCGTGAGCATCTTGTAATATGTATCTTTCAACTTTGCCTTCAGATTTCAAGTTTGGCGCTCAGGTTGTACAAGTAAATCACTCTTATCTTAATGAAAAAGCATCAGTGTATCTTGAAAGTTCCCCCATGCTCTCCAGAATAGTTTTATACACACAGTGGTTTCCTGATTAACAGAAAGATCCATACGGGCTCATTTATCATTTTGTGACAATCGGTTTATAAATAAAGGAGATAGAAATTGACCTGGGAATTTCATAACCAAGTTCTGAACAACCAGGATTAATTTTGAGAAGAATGCCACAAGCCAAATAAGCATTTCTTTTCATCTCATTTCACAGGCCTTCAAGAGGGAGTTGAAAACGAAAGAACCTGTAATCATGAGTACTCTTGAGACTGTACGAATATTTCTGACAGAGCAGCCTTTAGAAGGACTAGAGAAACTCTACCAGGAGCCCAGAGGTAATTGAATGTGGAACTGTAATAACATATTGATAGAAGGATCAGTGGTGACAGAGCGACCCATCCATTCTTGCTGCCAGGGTCTGGATGGCGCTCATATTTTCTAAGTTAAATAGAATCGATTCAAATTAAACATAGATGTTGGGAAACAAAAAGGAACCCTAAACCACCATGCGTAAATCTGGTTGCACCTTCATAAATAAACATTAAGAGAGACTCATTAGTGATCAGTTATTGAAACACTTAGAAAATAAGAAACAAAAGAGATTCGCTGTGAGAAGGGATCCTATCGTTATAGAGACTACAACCTAATTTTCCTTTTAAGAGCCTGGCTGAAGTAAATTCGAGCTTGTGGTGCACATCCTAACATGTTTCTGTTCAATGGCTTAAATGGATCTTGGATGATCTGAATGATAGAAGGTAGAACAGATATATTCAGGAGGACAGACCTGAGATGTGCGGACACTGTCAGAATTTATGCCAAGGTGCGAAAGAACCATTAATCAATGGGTTGCCCTCTTGTTGCACTGTACTTTGTTTCTTACGGTATGACCTTTTCAACAATGTTTTTTTAAAAAACAAAAACAAAAACAAAAAGGACTGTGGCCTAAAACCTTGTCATGTTACCAATTTAGAGCTGCCTCCTGAGGAGAGAGCCCAGAATGTCACACGGCTCCTGCGAAAGCAGGCTGAGGAGGTCAACACCGAGTGGGAAAAACTGAACCTGCACTCTGCAGACTGGCAGAGAAAAATAGACGAGGCCCTCCAAAGACTCCAGGAGCTTCAGGAAGCAACCGATGAGCTTGACCTCAAGCTGCGTCAGGCTGAGGTGATCAAGGGCTCCTGGCAGCCTGTGGGTGACCTCCTCATTGACTCTCTCCAAGATCACCTCGAAAAAGTCAAGGTACCTTCTATTCCTTTGCTTCGGGGCCCTTTGAGAGACTTGAAAGGTTCCAATCTGAACTTGGGTGTGGTACTTTCTTCTCCCAGAGTTTAAGAGAAACATTTTTTAATGTTTATTTTTGAGAGAGACACACACAGAATCCGGAGCAGGCTCCAGGCGCCAAGCTGTCAGCACAGAGCCCGGTGCGGGGCTTGAACTCACGAACTGTGAGATCATGACCTGAGCCGACGTCGGACGTTCAACCGACTGAGCCACCCGGGCACCCTCTTCTCCCTAAGTTTAAAATGGGGCCCTCGTGCATTAGAAATCCGTTGATCTTTCACAAATTCAAAATCATCTTGCACGTGGTATTTTCTCTAGGAGGAATTGGTGATCTAATCATCTCTGTCTTTAATAATGTGGAATGAAATATTTAAAAGTTACAGGGTGAGACAATCCCCTTTATTTTGCTATTAGGGAATGAATTTAAGCGCTTGTACGAAAATGACCTGAGTTGCGTGCATGTGCGCGCACGCGTGTGTGTTCTTTGTGATACTTAGTATCAGAGTGGGGACAAATAGAACACTTCATCAAGAGCCGGGAGTCTAGGCTTTGGCCTTTTTGCTAACAAAATTACATGACTTGGGTGAGTTACGGTACTGTGCATTGAGGCTGTTACTGCTGTCCTTCCCTTAGAAGGCAATGTACATAATACGTTATACATTAGTCCACCGCGGATATTGGGCAATATCATTATATATTTGGAATACTGCCCATGAGGCCGAAGTTAAATTCTCTTGTGGTACCAAGATGATAAATATATTTATTGAAAAGAAGATACATATTTAGGAATATCGTTATGAAAACCAACTTGAAAACATAACCAACTTGAAACATTTCGTTTACTCATCCAGTGTCAAACCCAACAAAAGTCCTCCCAGGTTCGAATTCAAAAGAAGTGAAATTCTCACCCGCACTTGGCATGCTCACCAGCGGACTCATCTCGGCAGGTGTCGTCTCCTTTGGCTTTCGTGACATTGTTTCATACATTCTTCTTCTTCCTTTATTTCCCTCAGTTCTGAAACCCTGCCCACTCTTCAGATGTTCGTGTGCCCAAGTTTCTAACCTTAGCTCAGTTCCCTTTGTATTGTATAAATACTCCCGATTCGAAGTGGCATGACAGCGACAAATGTAGATTTCTGGTCTGGGTCTCTTTTCTGATCTCCTCACCCACATGTCGTTAGAATCAAAATGCAACCGTTCTGAAATCAAGTTCGTTCAGTCTCGTGTTTGACCATTCCCCTGCTGCTGTCCCCTCTTACCTGCCTTTTCCTCGGTGTTTCCTATTTCACTGAATGGATCTTAATCCAACAAGTTGCTCAGGCTTGAAACTTGAGTTTCTTCGTTAAGTCCTTCTCCGTTTTGACTGATTGCGCCTGACGGCTCATTCTACCTCAGAATGTCTCTTTTCTGTTTTCTCTCCTCTTTTCAACCAGTGTCCTGTTCTGGCCCCTAGTGTGTGTTACTCACATGATTGTAGTGTACATCTATGGATCCCACTCGCTGTACCTGACGTATCATGAACACTGCGTTTCCCTTTTTTTAAGTTCATATTTAACTTCCACTTAGTTAACACGCAGCGTGACAATAGTTTCTGGCGTACAGAACAGTCATTCAGCACTTGTGTGTCACACCCGGGGCTTCTCACGACGAGTGACAAAGAATTTTAAATATTTGGTGAACGAGTGAATGAATGAACGATTTCTTTACTGATATTTCTACCTTATCCACCCTCTTGTGATTCCAGTCCCAACTCCTGCCTGCCTGACAATGAAGCCCAGTGAATGAAGAGGGCAGGCGGCCCTTTTCTTCCTAGCCCTGGTTTAGATTCCCAACTGTGACTCGCATCATCCTGGCCATTCCATACACTCTGACCATACCACCCCTTTACCCAAATATGCCACCTTTCTTCACCACTCTCTGCCTTTGCAGGTGTTCTTCTCTTGGCCTCGGTTACCTCCACCTTATGTGCCTGGTGATCTTCTATTGAGCCCTCAATGCCCAGCTCAAATGGCATCTGTCTTTGTAGTTTGTCCGCAGCGTCTCCCACCCCCAGCTCCTACCGAGCGGAAGAAATGGCCCTCAGTTCACTGCCTTCTTAGATCACCACACGTGCTTCAATTGTCACGCTCAAATCTCCCACAGGCAGTGAGCTTCCTAAGAGCAAGGGTCAGCAACATATAAAGGAATTTACTTCTGCTTCTTTATTTCTTCGCCCCACTCTTGGTTATGAGCCATTCTGCAATATGTAGTTATTGTAGGTCTTTGCCCTGATGAAGCCGACAGTCTAATGTTGAACGGAATAGCTCTTCACGAAAACGGTGGGTGCAGATTTAAGAGAAGATTAAAAAAGAGGGCTCTATAACTTGGAAACTCTCTTCCACCCTAACCTTCTTTGACTCCATGTCTGATAATTAAAGCAATGGTTAACATGGACGGCTATTTGAAAGTTAAAATAATGTTTTGAAACGTATTACCTTGTATTTGTTCAGCCTTAAAACTAGTACTTTGGGGCGCCTGGGTGGCGCAGTCGGTTAAGCGTCCGACTTCAACCAGGTCACGATCTCGCGGTCCGCGAGTTCGAGCCCCGCGTCGGGCTCTGGGCTGATGGCTCGGAGCCTGGAGCCTGTTTCCGATTCTGTGTCTCCCTCTCTCTTTGCCCCTCCCCCGTTCATGCTCTGTCTCTCTCTGTCCCAAAAATAAATAAACGTTCAAAAAAAAAAAAAACTAGTACTTTTATTAAAACGTACAGGCACAACGTTTAAAAAGAAATCAGCCCCAAAATGACAAAGAAGTTTAGGAGAATGTCCCAAAGGAACCACATTCGTTTATTAATTAAGGGGCCGAGTCTATAAGGGATTCCCTTACAGCCATATGTGCCACACAGGAGCCTTTGTAGGATACGGAGTATGGATGGAGAATGCGCTCAGCAGGATTCCATAGTGAAAAATCACTACAAGTAAAACAGCTCAAAGTCAGCCGATCCTCACTGAAGCCTGTTTGCATTTTTCCTTTCACTTCCCTTCTCCTACCTGTTCTCGATCCTCGGCCCAAGTTCATTTCCAGGAAGACTCTCACTCTGATCCCGATAACAGCAAAACACCCATGCGCTAAATATCCCTTTCTGAAAGAGCGTAAATATGCCAACGCTTCAAAGAAATCGGTTTTCTCTGTGGCTTCTCAACAACACTGGGTTTGAAACTCTGAAGCTTTGGTGGTGGTGGTTTATAAGGAGTGAATTTTATTAACTAAAACTTACTTTGAACAGAAGTAGAAGAGTCCTTAAAACCACTGTTCCCATTTTTCTACTCAGCAATTTAAGCCCTCGGAGACTCCACGCTGTAGGGGACTCCAAAGTGATAGCCAGGCATGTAGCCGGAGAACATTTTCTTTACCCACTTCAGCTCGTTTTCATCACCCCTAGTGACTCTATTGTAATACCCACCTCCATTCTGATCTTATTTGTTAAAGAAGTTGTTACACAAGTAACTCTGCCATGTGTATCCCTGTGGGATTTAGCATTAGATCATTTCATTGGCCAATGTGGCTTTGGGATTTGGAGCGTGGATAGAACAGCAGCAACCTCAAAATCCTGGGACGCTCTGGAGGTTGCATTGTTGCTGGCTAATCATCTCCGGGACAGCGTGCGTGCGGTAAATCAAGAAGGAACACAATGTCAATATTGACTGTCAGGCCCCCAAAGAAAATCTCGGCCTTCCGCGTGCAGCTTCCTTAGGAATAATCCCCAGAATAAAATCCAAAATGTAAAGCCCTCTTTATTTTTAAAATTCATGATTTATAGTGCTTAGCAAGTATTTTAAGGACACAAACACGATTCCCCACTTAACTGGAAACAACACCAGCGTTTCTGTGTCTCTACAAATATTCTTGCTTTCCTTATCGCAGTGGAGAGTAAGAATAACTCCTTGAATCACTAGGTGCTCCGCTTAGATCCGTGAATGGAACATATGCAGGTTTTAATAAAGTGGAATGACTTTGAAGCTCAAGTCTACGTATGACGTTTTTGTGTTGAGAACAATTCCTGTGTGAAAATCTTTGGGAGTCGTTGGTTTTCCAAGTTTTCTTTTTGTTCTCATCAACCGTGGTGTCTTTGTACCGAGCGGTACATCATTCTTGAGCCAGGAACATTTCATTGTCCCTAGTTTGCCCGTTGCCTCAAAGCACAGGTTTTCACACCATAACCATCATTAAACTCCCCCCAGCCTGCCATTTGGGATTATACAAATGCGTCACCACCACGTAGGTACTTATTGTATAGTTTTTTATCCGAGTTTTAACTTACGTCTCTTCCTGTGAAAGGTCAAGGACAGGGATTCGCTGAGTTTTTCCTTGAAGTTCTTATGGTGAAGCGTTTTGATTAGCGCTTTCTGGAATTATAATTGAGAACAAGGTAATAATATGGGTAGTAGACCAGGGACTCTCATGAAGCCATCATGCCCTTCTGGCTTCTTTCTGCTCAACATGCGCATCTACAAATTTAAGAAGATAACTGGCACACACATCGCTGCGGGCCTACCCTCCTGAGTCTCTGTGGTTTGGTTTATCTGAGAAATCTGTGAAAGGAATGCTAGCTCAGAATTTGACACGGAGAAAAGCAGAAGCTCTCAGCCGTGTTCACGCAACTCTCTCTTCTCTTAGTGTTTTCTCATCTTAACTCTGGTTTCTAATGTTTTATTATTGTTTTGTTCATTTTGTTTTATTGTCTTTGATACGAGCCAGCTTTAAGTCCTTTCTTGTATGGGAGTTTTATAGAGGAAGCTAATGACCCAGTCAGATGGAAAGCTTATCATCCATTCGGTGGGAGGTATGCAAGGTTAGACAGAACCATCACCAACAGGGCAGCCCCGAGAATGAACTCTGCATAAACAAATGATGTCTCCATATTGAATGAGGTGCACTGCCTGTAGTAGGAAAAGGAAAGTTTACTAATGTTCTGTTAA